GCAGCCATCATTGTTGTTTGGCAGGCCCGGGCTGGGGATTTGAACCTGCCACCTTAGGTGTATGTGGCTGGTGCCTTAGCCACTTGAGCCACAGGCGCCGAGCCTGAATCTTCTTTATATCTCACACCCCACATCTAACTTAGGTGCCAGTCCCATCAGTTCTCCTTCCAGGATCTGGCCATCTCTCATCCCTCCTCTGCCACCATCAGGTCCATGGTATTACTGTCTCCTTTTGCATGATTGGGAGAACCTCCCAACTGGTCCTTTTGCTTCTTTCTGGCTTGTCCACCTCTAATGAACTCTCTACACAGCAGCCAAAGTGCTCCTTTGAAATGAAAGTCAGATCAGGTTTTTGTGCTCAGAACTCTCCCCACTGGCTTTGCTTCTTTTCTATTTCCAGGCTCCCCCTCACTGTCACTTCTGCCATGCCAAGCATGTGTTCACTTCATATGTCTCCTTGCTAGAAAGAACACCTGCCTAAAATAACAAACCCCCTCTTCCTTTCTTTTGTTTTATAGTCTTACTTTATTTATTGCAACCTGACATGTTATATATTTACTTCTTTGTTTTAGTCTGTCTTCCTTTCATTAGAATGAGAGCTCTTTGAGGATGAAAACTGCTTTATTCATTGTCTTCCCAGTGTCTGACATATTAATAGTTGTAGAAGGACCTCTGAATGAGAGCGGTCAGTTGGCTCTCTAGTTAGAATCTCACAGAATTATAGTATCAATTGGACCACCACTATTTTTATCTAGTGGACAGCTTCACAGATCTGGAATTTATCTGATTTATCTATGGACCCAAATTTGATCATATTCTTGAAGACTAAGTCATGGTAACTCACCACTCAGTAGATTGATGGTAAAGCCAGATGCAAATTTACTTAATTTACTGTTGAAATAGATAACTGTTCCAATAACTGAAATATATACCATACTTAGGATACCTGTTCTTGCTTGGGAAGTACTTAGGAAGCTAAATTATGAATCTAAGTTTGTGACTATGGAATCTACACTAAATGAGTTGGATTGAAATGTTGAGCCAACAATTTGAAATATGTGTCTGAAGCTCAAAGGAGACACTATGTGCCTGGGCTAGAGATATGTAAAATGCTTAGAACAGTAAGGATCCCATGGAAATGTTCAGTCATTGGTAGGCCATGCATCAACGGCAGCATGATGAAAGAATCAAAGTGGGAACATTGGCCTTTCCTGTATAGACAGTATTTGTCAGGTCTTGGAGACAGTTGTATCTGTGCTATAAAGTTGAATATATAGTTTGATTTTTAAAAAAAAGTTGAGGCTCGGCACCTGGGGCTCAACTGGCTGGGGTGCCAACCACGTACACCTAAGGTAGTGGGTTCGAATCCCCAGCCCGGACCTGCCAAACAACAATGACGGCTGCAACCAAAAAATGGCTGGGCGTTGTGGCGGGCGCCTGTGGTCCCAGCTACTTGGGAGGCGGAG